TAAAAGCATCATGCAACTTGGACTTCATTTGGGGGCATATCACACCATTCCATTTATTAACAAGTTCCCTCCTCTTGGTAATTTTCCTCATCAACCTAATTCTTACACTATCAATCAACTTTGTGATAGGCAAGTGGCGTTCCTATCGTATCCATGAATTGAAAGATTCAGCTACATTTGACCACATCTCTCCAAAGCGTTGCTCTCGAAAATATGCATTACTCCAATGATTATATGGTATGTCATCTAAAAATTTTTAACTCTTGACCCACCTTTAGTCTTTAACTCAACCAAACATTGATGAAATGTTTCTTCAGTTGGAGCATATGCACATTTCCCAAACAGAGTGATCAGCTTTTATTTCAATCCATGAAACATACCACGCAAATGATGCCTCAAGTTCATCTTCAAATGATATAAATAATAAGCATGGAAAGCCATTGGGAAAACTTTTGGCAAAACTTCAACTAATCCAAGGTTACGATCTGACACGATGTAATATTTCGTTCTAGTGAAACAATTGTACTCAAATGCTCCAAAAACCAATGCCAGTTGTCTTGATTCTTTAAGCCAACAACTGCAAAACAAACAGGAAAGAACCCTGCATGTACAAAACAGAAAAAATGAGAAAATTCTATTATTGTTAGAAAATGGTGACACTTTAACATTCAAAATATCATACACTAAAATGAATAACTGAAAAAAATAAAAAATGCATATACAACAACAATATTATATAAAATTTAAAACATTTAATCATATTTCTAAACTAAGAACTTTCTTAATTTCAGAACAGAGAAAACAGATTTCTTGTGTACCTTGATTTCCATCTTTTCCTGTAGCAATAAGTAAATTTCCTCTAAATCTTCCCTTCAAAAATGTGCCATCAAGGAATAAGAGAGGTCGACAATAATCAAATCCACTAATGGAATCATGAAAAGTAACAAATAATCTCTTAAACTGTTTAGTATCATCATCACACTCAAACTCAATGTAACTCCCTGGATTGCAACATCCACATATCATCTTAACTGGTCAAATGACATTAAGTAGTCTAAAAAAATATCACCTTTTTCTTTCTCTAAACCCAATCAAGCTTGACGATAACTAACTCTCAGCCCATATCCCAACTTAAAATGCCGAACAACATGAACTGGACGTGTCAATGGATTATCAAAAACACCTTCAACAATCAAATCAACAACTAAATTAGAACTCATACGAGAATGATTCATCGTATGTACTTCAGCACCACATGTGTGGACATTGTTCAGCTTCCTTATATAAAAGAACACATTAGCATCCTCCACTCTACCATGAACATTCCACATATAACCTTTTGTTTCTCTAAACAAACATTGTGCGATAACACGAACTTTATCATTCTTAACAAATATGAACTCAAATCCACACTTAATAGAAAACTTTGACAATGCATTACGAAATTCAACAATTCCACCTTCAAAATTTCTGTCTTACATGTGTAATACTAACTGCCTAACCAGCAGACAACAATACTTTTTCCTTGTGTCGACAAAATGATGATAACATATCAACCTCTTCTTCAACCTCCAACCTCGAATTCCTTTTGGAGGATGTAGATGCTCTGTTTGACAAGTTCACAAACTTACTGTTGTCATGAGATAATGCAATATCACAAACTTCAAGCTCCAACATTGACTCTCTTTCTTCACAATCCAATTTTTTGTTGAGATAACAACGATCAATGGTTGAGTTTTTTACTCTCACAACAACATCAATACACTTTGAATCAAAATGCACAACTAATGCCAACAACAAATCTAACTCTTCATTGTTATTCAACGTATAACTAGGATGTCTAGGCAATGAGTAAGATAGACAAATGCTATCGGATTGCAAACTATCCCATTTCAAACATAGGTTATCAACCAACTGATCATATATAACATTTTGATCAATCTTAATTGCAAATGTGCAACCATTATACTTGCACAACAAAAAAATAGGCGCACTCGTACAACCTTCACTCATCTTTCAATCTAAACAAGAAAAAAAGATCGCATTAATAAAAATCATAACAAATACTTCATAACAATACTAAGAACTTTCTCAGTTTTCACAAATCACATTTTCAATTCATAAAATACCTAACCAAACCGAGAAATTATCCAGCAAATCACGTTTTAAATTCATAAAAACGAAATTATTCAATATATTCTCATAAATAAATTCAATCAAAACTAAAGAAAATTCTAACAACACATAATATACAAAATCGAAACACTACATACCTATAAACCAGATCGAAGATCAAATATCCAGCAAATCAATTCTTCAATTTATAAATCGAAATCGCACATAACAAACTCTAATAGATTTCAACTCAAAAAGCGAACCAACCCAAGAAATCCTTCAAGATCCTTTGCTATTCGAAGCAAAACCGAGAAATCAATTATGTATAATAGCGAACCAAACTAGTAAATCCTTCAAGATCGTTCACGATTTGAATCTTCAGCTACTTCCATAACTGATCTGTTAACTGATTTGTTTTTTTCTTTCTAGTAAATAACATCAATGCTATTTTATGTACACTTGTTCATGTTAAACGGCAAACACGTCTTTTTACCTGCAAATGGGACTTATTGGTTCAAAACTTTTTTGATAGGACCTAAGCTACTACCAAATATGTAGATAAGACTTTCAGGTAATTATTCCTTTTTAAAATATTTGTTCACAAATATTTTACTATTTAGATACATCTAAGTAAAGTGCATCTAACAAAGTAAAAAAATTGCTTGAAATTTTAAAAATATTCACTAAAAACAAAAAACACATGAAAAACAAAAAACTTAATTTCAAAAAACTGAATTAAGAAAAGTGAAACCAAACCCACTGTTATTTTTAGTTACAGTAAATGTTAAAATTCTAACGAGTAATGCTATACAAACAGGAAAAAACAAATTCAAATGTGGCTTAAATTTTCAAAATCACCACTACTATATCATTCTATTCAAGAATTCGGTACAAAAATTATGTGAGAATGACATTGTCCTTCCTTATTAAGCATTGGCATTCTTCAAGTTTCAAGCCATTGAATCAAAGACTTGTTATATGATCTATTTAACTGCTTAAAGTCATCTTTGTTTTGATTTATATGGCATAGTTAGATTTCACTGTCTAATGATTATGATTTATCAAAAAATTTCATATCATTTGGTATTGATTTTCAGTAAATTTTTTGTTGTTGTTGTTGTTGTTGTTGTTGTTTATATAGCATTACTTTACAAAGGAATGGGTGTATTTCTTGTATTTGCACATTGAGAACGAAACGTCAATAAGAAAAATTTCGCCTCAAACAAGAGCAAGTCCTCTTGCAATTGCAAAGCAGGACTTGGCATATCATCCGGGATGAAATCATCTGCTTTTATCCCAACCATGTGTAGAATAAAGTTCCCATTGTTGTCAATCTTTCTTATAAGCCCCATCATAGGAATTTCCATCTTCACCACATAATCAAAAACATGTATTTGGTGGTATTTGATTGCTGTATGTAATATGTTACGTTACGCCTATGATTATCAATGTGCTCAACTTCCTGAGGATACATGCCGAGTATCTCTTTGACAATCTCTATAACGCCGTACTTAGCTGCCAAAAATAGTGGTGTTTCTGCGGTCTCTATAGTTCTAGTTTGACCTGTAGGGGCCTTTAGTCATTCCTTTACCACTTGGCCTTGAGAAGCAAAAGAAGGTGCTCCATGTTTGTGGGTCTTGGGCTTACTCTGGTCTATCGTAGATTGAGTGGCTTCCCATGAAGTGTCATCTATTATTGTGACATATTTATGGGTCTTGGGCTTTCTCTGGTTTATCGCAGATTCAGTAGCTTCCCATGAAGTGTCTCTCGCTAGTAAGAACTTGGCAAGCTTCAAGGCTGATTCATATTGCTTTTTTTTTTTTTTTTTTTTTTTTTTTTTTTTTTTTTTTTTTTTAATGGCTTCCCATAAAGGTACTTTACAACACGATTCAACTTTTCAAGATACAAAAGTAAGTATTAGTCGAGTGATAGAGCTGTTAGGAAAATTAAATTTCAATTATGTGCACTAGGCACTAGCTGTTCAGCCTCAAAATGTTGTAATTGATGTAGAACAAGTAACTGAAGAATTCATGGAATGTTTAAAATGTCATTTTCAATCAGACTACTAAGTTTGAAGGGATTTTGAACTTCTTAAAAAAAGTACTTTTTGGTCCCTAATTTGACCTCTGCTGATCTAACTGTTCCATGAATTATACGGCAACTTGTTCTACATCAGTAACTGTCTAAGTGTTGCTTATTCCAAGTACTAGAGAGAGAGAGAGAGAGGGAGAGAGAGAGAGAAGGTTCTAAGATTTTCTTAAGGCACTTTACCTTCTTGTCTCACAGGATTATCCTCGGTTTCAATTGAGACACTTGAAAGAACTTGGCATTTTTAGGCCGGAATAACTTACTAGAGAATTAAAATGACAAAATGCAATGTAGATTAGCCAAATGGCCAGAAATAAAGGTGAATTGAGTCTAATGTTTATCAGTTATTATAGTCAATTTTAGATGGATCAATGGCAACATGAGTTAATTGATGATTTTATAAAATACAATTGAATAAACAAGTGAATAACTAAGAGAAGTATTGTATTGCCTCTTTCGACATGTGAAGAATACAATTAATATAATGGTTTATTTGTTCCCAAGAAGGTCATATCAACAAGGTTAAGTTTAGTTGGTTTCATCAGCAAGTCTAAGGGGAAGTATCATACAAGAGTGGATGAGTCGCTTGACGCATCTTTGTTTACTTCCATCTTCAAATGCTGATGGATTGTATGTGAAATTAAAATGACAAAATGCAATGTAGATTAGCCAAATGGCCAGAAATAAAGGTGAATTGAGTCTAATGTTTATCAGTTATTATAGTCAATTTTAGATGGATCAATGGCAACATGAGTTAATTGATGATTTTATAAAATACAATTGAATAAACAAGTGAATAACTAAGAGAAGTATTGTATTGCCTCTTTCGACATGTGAAGAATACAATTAATATAATGGTTTATTTGTTCCCAAGAAGGTCATATCAACAAGGTTAAGTTTAGTTGGTTTCATCAGCAAGTCTAAGGGGAAGTATCATACAAGAGTGGATGAGTCGCTTGACGCAACTTTGTTTACTTCCATCTTCAAATGCTGATGGATTGTATGCGAGAAGTTGAAGAGCAGTCATCCCATCTCCATCTTTTATGCCAACTAATATTCGTGCTCTGTTGCAATCAGAAGTGCCAAATCTGCTTCACATTACATTTCAGTAACAGAACAGAAGCAAAAAAAAAAAAAAAAAGAAAAGGAAAACCGTCAGACAACCAAAAATTTCTGATGCTGAAGTAATTCCCTAATGAGTACTTACCAAAGTGCTCGGTGAGGATGGAAATGTGAAGTTTGGTGGTTTTATCGTCCATTTGATAAAACACTTTGTGTCCTTCTTCAACTTCTTCTTCTCCTTCACTTCCAAAGATTCTCTTCACTTCATCGTCAAGAAACTTGAACATTTCCAACTTTCCATAGTGTGCTGTGTGGAAGAGAGCAGTTTCTCCCCTCCTGTTGTGCATACTCAACAGCTTTGGTGCTTTCTGTAATATTTCTTTTGTGGCTAGGACTATTCTATTAGAAGTGGCCGCCTTGTGGAGTATAGTGTTTCCAATATCATTTTGTACAGTCATGTTGTTGATATCTCCATTGTGCAATTCTTCGAGTAAATCACGCACTAAATCTCTTTGTTTGGAGTAAACAGCCATATGTAAGACAGTGTTATTGTGTATGGTTAGTATGTGTAATGGCCCTTCTGGAATTTGTTTACAAAGTTTAATTACCTTATTCCCATCTCCTCCCATCAGAGCTTCATACAAGTCTCTGTTAGTTTTATGCTTCTCACATTTGGCCATGATGAGAGAGAGAGAGAGAGAGAGAGAGAGAGAGAGAGAGTTTTACAAGAGAGAGTTCATATTTTGCATGAATATATAGGAGAAGTCAAAGTGGACACAATCACTGGTTTTGCAGATGAGTAAAAGTTTTATACATGACTTATTGGTTTCAAATGTGTAGGTTCTTGGACTAACTCATGTGGTTATTGTCAAAACAACACTGTTAAAATTATAATTTGATCTGCTACAGTGTCAAAATGCACTTTTTTAGTGCAAATGTCATTTTGGCATGCCCAGACTATTACTTATTTCTATCCGTTGGATGTCTCACATTCAAGCTATTAGATCAAAACCCTCACTTATGTGAGCTGAGCCGGCACACATGACATTGCCAAACCTAGTATTTTGTGCACCTAATATTTTTGTTTTTTGGGGAAGCTGTATGAGAGGCTTTTTTGAGTGGAACTACAAGAGTTTGGTAATGATAGTGATTATAACTGTCCAAGAGTAGCTGTTACCTGCTAATGATAATTGAGTCATGTTAGCAATTGTAATTTACTGTAAATGTGACAACAATTTACCCTACATCTGATTTTCTTTGCATGCAAAAGTACTTGTTCTTTGCTCAACAGACTTAAAAGAATGGTCTACTTTGCTAAAACTGTGTATTGAACTTGAAAGAATCTTTGGCAGGGCATTTCTTATTCTGTGAGCTGGTTATACTTTGTTAAAGTAAACAAAATGGTACAATGCTTTGCTTAATCCATTAGCAAAGTTACACACCATGTACAAACATTACCCAAAAAGATAGAAACTTTTTTTATTTGTTTTTTAATTTTTATATATAAAAATTTGTTTTGTTTTTTCACAACAATTATCATCTAAGGGGATTTGGAACCCAAAATCCCGACCTCATGAGCTGCACATCAAGTTCTTACTATTGAATTGCACCGCTGGCTGAGAAGAAACTGTATTCCTAGACAACAATGTAAACAGTTTTGTGATTAATCATATCAGCAATGTTATGAACTCATAAAAAATACTTAATAATTAAAATCTGAATCATAAACTCAAATTCTGAGCATTTTTTTTTTCTAGGTGCATAGCATTTCTGTTAATATGTAGTTGTCGATGACTCTCAGGTGTTAAATATTGTTAAAGTTCTCACTAAACATGAGAAGCTGTCCTTTTGGCCCTGACAATAGGAAGCAAGTGTGAAACACAAGAGCAAATTGATATTCCTTCATTTACTTATTATTCTCTAATACCTCTTATTTGAAAAGCAAGGTAAAATGGTGTCCTAACTAAAAGAAAATATGAAGAAAATCAAGTGCCAAGCTTTTAACATCAGCAATTATCTATCATCTTTTAGGGTGATAAATACATGCAATATATGACTTAATGTAATAGCAAACTTGATGATGTCAATACCTAGTAAAGTGCAGTTGTAACTTTAAGAAGTTTATTGACCTACCCTAACAAGCATATGAATTTGACACCATTGTGAATCCTAAAACGGTATCAAGGGACTTAAAAAACATATAAAATGTTTTTACACCATCAATAATTTATAAAGAATCTGCTTTCACAATGATGTAGCAATGACGTATTTGTAAATAATATTCATAATCATAGGCCTTATGTTCTTCACAAATGAGATATGTTTTTGACTGTTGAATTAAAATTTCAGGGTGTGTTATAAATGCTGGTGTACTTTGTTCTGTTTGGCACACAATGGGAGTAGTGGTGGTAGGTGGAGTGGCAGACAGTTTTGGTGGTAGTGGTGGTGTTGAGGGTTAGAGGAGAGGAAGAGGCGGTGGTGGTGGTGATAATGAGAGAAATAAAAGGAGGAGACTGTGGAACGAGGGAGTGTGAGTTTGCAGAGAAAAGTGGTGATTGCGCCAGGAAGATGGTGAGGGTAGGTTGGGTGTACAACAGTGCATGAAAGAAGTTTGTGGGCTTTTGGTGAGAACAAATAGGATTGTTTGCCTAAAAAAAAAAATAATAATTTGTTTCTTTGGTCACTGTGTTTTTGGAAATTTAGTTTTGTAAAGAGGCAAAATGACAACTTGACATTTTCTATTAACCACTGTCATTCTGACAATATAGCATAGTATAATTTCAGATACCATAAGAGAGATACGTTTAATCGTCGAACGCGAAAGAATAAATTCATATATTAAAGCTCCTTCAAAAAGAGAACCAAAATAAATAAATACAGTAGATAATGGCACCAACTACGCATGCTTCATATCTATTGAAAAACCAATTCAGAACATCATAACAATACTAGTATAGCTTTAAAACATATGTTTGTCTAGCTTCCATACACACACACATAAATATATATACATAATAGATATTTTCAACGCCAAACTGCTTCTTAGAATTCCTTTTCCAAGTATTCTAGAAACAATTTGGTAGGATTTTGCTACAATTCAGAGTCACAACCTTTTAAACATGATAATGAGTGGGGTTGGAGAGATCTGGGGATTGGTTTTTTTTGGAGCCGAACGATTTGGTGAGCCAGGATTGGAGAAAAATACCATTATATCGGGGACAAACCTCTCCTATTTTCTTAAGAAAGTGCATGAAAGTTTTCATCAGCTCAATATATAAAGGCAAGTAAGAAAGTGCAAAGATACAGACCGGGAAGAATGCCACGGAGTATAAGGCATTTCTAATCCATTGTTCCTTACTATGAAGCAATAGGATCACTGTTGCTGCAAATGCAAGCATCATCATTGACACAGAAAGGATCAATAATGAAAGTCCCAGCATAAGTTTTTGGGGAAGAGACCGCCTGAAGTCTTTTAACTGAAATGATGATGTGAGGATTGACAGAAATGTGATGACGGCTGTCAAAGCAAATGCAAGGGAGAGAACATCTGTCAAGGTGAAAATCACAAAGAATGGTTTGGTTTGGAGAAGTGGGTAACCGGTGTTTTGATTTGGACCTCCTGGTACTGTGTAGGCTGCAGCAAAGGCAACGGTGGCAATCAACACAGCAACAATGGAGCAATTCTCAGCAGTGCGCTTTAACCATTCTTTGGCTTCTGTACGAAGTTTAGCATTGTTTTTGGCAAAGAGCTTATCAGCGGTTAGTCCATCATTGTTGAAGTGCTCAATGAAATGGGCTGTGGAGATTTTCTTCACACGCTGCATGTTTAATTAATCATAAAGAAGGTTGTTTCAATTCAATTGTAATATATATTTTGAGCTTAAAACTCTTCCCAGCCGGAAGTGGGTTATTCAAGTTGTTGGACCATGATCCCTAGTAGTGTGAGATAGAAATGATACCAGTCTTCGGTGCAGCTTGTAGAGTTGCTTAATAGTTTTTTTTGGGTGGAAAATTTGTAAGTGTTTGTTGCACCTTCTGCTTATAGCATATGAGGTAGAAATTATTTATATAAATTGAAAAAATTTGATTATTGGAAGCAGGGAAATGAGTACTTTTATTTTTACTTTTTGATTATCAATTATTAGCTTGAAGGAAGTTGCACCAAACAGGCTATTTGATCCAACAACTTGAAATGTTCACAAATCTAATGCTTAAATGCAAGGAAAGAAGCATCTGTTTGTGAATGTGCACATCAAGAATGGAACAAGATTAGTGCACCTCAAACAAGAGCAAATCCTCTCGCAATAGCAGAGCAGGGCTTCGCATGTCTTCAGCATCTTCTGTCTTAGTCCCAACCATATGCAGTATAGAGTTCCCATCATTGTTAATCTTTCTTAAAAGCCTCCTCATTGGAATTTCCAATTTCTCCACGAAATCAAAAATATGTATTTGGCGGTACTTGATGGCTACGTGAAGTATATTACGTCCTTCATGATCAATATGCTCGACTGCCTGAGGATACATGTGTAGTATTTCTTCAACAATCTCTAAAATGCCTGACTTAGTAGCCAAAAACAATGGAGTTTCAGTAGTCTTCCCTCCGATTGTCTCTTGACTTGATGTGGTTGACTTTTCTTCCTCCCTTACTACTTCTTGGCCATCGGAAGGGATGGAGGATGTTCTACGCGATCCATATTTGTGAGTCCTAGGCTTACTGTCATCCATGGCAGATGCAGTTGCCTCCCATGAAGTATCTTTTGCTATTAAGTACTTGGCAAGCCTCGCAGCTGATTCATATCTTTGGTTTTTTCCTTGAATAGTTCCCCACAAAGGGATTCTACAACATGATTCAACTTTTCAAGATACAAAAAGTCAGAATTAGTTGTGTTGTGTGTGTAAGAAAATAAAGCTAGCACAACAATAAGAAAATTATATCCACTTAAGAATGTATATGTGCACTAGCTTGTTTTGCCTCGAGATGTTGTAACTATCTAACACTCCGTTTGGCTCGCGAGATGAGAAAATAGAAAAAAAGATTGTGAAGAGAAATGATTGTATTTTCTCACTATCATGTTTAGATGAGTAAGAAAGTAAAATATGTGATACAGGAATGTAGATATGACATATTTTTCTTCTTTCTTTGTATTTTAATGAGCAATCTCGATATTATTAAAAATACACGACTAATTAATTTGTTTCTCAATAAATCTCGTAACTTCTGGTAATAAATGAAACCTACAAAATACAGTAAGTCGAGTGATTTAGAAATGATCCCAAAAACTTGCCATGCATAGTTGATCAAATCTGTGTATTTAAATTTTTTGTTGTGAGACCCAACCTTGAGTGAATCTAGGTCACAGAATTCAAATTCTAGTTATTTATTTATTTATTTTTGGTTTCTAGCATCATTGTATAAAATAAGAGAGCTCTTTCTCGCAATTTCTTATTATTTCTCACAATTTCTCATTGAACTTATAACCAAATATGATAAAAGAGTTCTCTTTGTTTTCATTTCTCATCAAATCACACCATCCAAACGGACTGTAAATTTTACAATATTATGGGAGCAAGGATGTAAACTTCATACGGATAGCCTATTCCAAGCACTAAGATTTTCCTGTTTGGCCCTTTACCTTTCTTTGGCACAACAAGAGTCTCTTCTTCCTCTGCCATATAAGTATCTTCAATGGAGACACCTGCAAGCACGCAATATTTTGTGACATAACTTATAAGATAGATTAAATTTTAAAAAAATAAATAAAAAACTTACTAGAATTGCAAAATGACTGTGGTTATTTGGCAACCGTAGTAAAAAGCTGCGTTTTGCAACTTTACAAAAACGCCATAGCAGCTACAAAAGCAACACAAACCATTTGGGAAGTGTGCAAAACACAGGGTGTGAAATTATGTAACTACCCTCCATGTTTATATCTTGAGGACTAGGGCTAAATGTAAATTTCCTAAGTTGGATGGGGTATTTTGGTCATTTTATTGTGATGTGAGATCATAAACAAATATTAACTCAAAAAAAAAAAAAAAAAAACAAAAATCTCTTTACTAACTTCCCAAATCACTTTCTAAAAGAATTAAAAAATTTGGTTAAAAGTCAAAAGTTAGCTTTTAATCATCTTTCCAAACATCCAAAAGTACAAGATAGATTAGTCTAATGGAATGTTTGATTGGACATAAAATGTGAGTTCGGTTTCTCTATCAAGATTTTCCTGCGACAATCTTGCTATTTTTGTTTTTTTATTGCGACAATCTTGCTATTTTGTTTTTAATGTTTTTTTATTGCAATTAGACATGTTAACAAAGTATAAAATCAAAGGGTTTGTGTTAAAACTAAAGCAAAATAATAATAAAATCATGCACCCTAAAACGACATAATTTGGCTTTAACTTTAAATCTATGCTATTAGATTACCATAGTAAGATTATTGCAGAGAGACCTACTACAAAAAATCCATGTCTATAGAAAGTATCTCATAATTACATAGTTGGATAGGAATACATGCCATCAAAGAAAATATCACATTATAGAATTTTTATACATAATTATTCACCAGAATTGACAATAATATCTTTGTAAATTGTAAATATAATATATAGTGACAGACATTTTGTTTTAAAAAGGTGAGTCCCAATGTGTCCATATCATTTTGTATACTTTTTTTTGTTTGTTTGTATGTACTATGTAGCATCACTCATCATGAAATTATACCAAGGTTCATGGAGTTTTGCCCTGTTTGGTTTCCACTTAAAAAAAAAAAAAACCCTAGTTTCAATAATTATACTCACCTTCCTTTAAGTTTTTGATAATTATAAGAACCTCCCATATAGTTTTAATAATTATAAAAACCACTCTTACTTTTGAAATTATTATTAAGATTCCCTCGCCGTTAATCTTCTATTAATTTATTTAACAAAATATGATGATGTCATGTACTATGAGCAAAGAATTTCAAGATTGCCCTTATCTATTTAAATAGTAAATTTCACTCACCTCTCTTGAGGTTTTACAAAATATTAATAAAGTCCCATATATTATTTTAATAATGTTAAACAAAATTATTAAATTCTATACAATATTTAAAAAAATTCTAAATTGTTAAGACAAACATATACATAGTAGAACAACCAAATATTACCTTATCTATAAAAAAAAAAGGGCTAATAAATTGATCACTGTTAAACCTTATATTAGATTAAATACAATTATTTATTTAAAAAATACAAAACAAAGTATAAAAGATGTTTTATTTTTTAAAAAGACTACCAATTTTAAGAAGACCATTTGGAGAAATTATCCCTCTCTTTCCATTTTCTTTATTTCATTTTTCTTTCTATTTATTTTCTTGTTTAATTTTTTCATAGTGTCACTATAACAAATAGTAACACCATATAATTTATTATTATTAGTATTTTATTTGTTCTCTTCTCTATGTTTTTTTCTCAATTTTTTTCATCATTTTTTCTATTTCATCAATGTTAGTCAGCATCACCTAATACCATAGCAACTAACGAAACCTGAAATTTTCTTTTATTTTGTAAACATATTTGTATATTAATTTTTTTTAAAGAAAAAGACTACCAATTTTAAGAAGACCATTTGGAGAAATTATCCCTCTCTTTCCATTTTCTTTATTTCATTTTTCTTTCTATTTATTTTCTTGTTTAATTTTTTCATAGTGTCACTGTAACAAATAGTAACACCATATAATTTATTATTATTAGTATTTTATTTGTTCTCTTCTCT